AGTCAATCCAGTAAGAAATACACAAGATATAAAATCTCCAATTTTGATTGAATTTATTCCTTTTCTTTTTCTTCGTAATACAAGTACAGAAAATGTATTGATAGAAACACATATTTAACTTTTATGGATCTTTACAACTTACAATTAGGTGTCAAATTTGGTCTAAATATAAGACACACTTGCAAAGTTGGTCAACAAAAACCACTTACTTTTGACCAAAAGTTTTGAGCATGCAAAGATTCACATGAGCTATCAATCTAAAATGTTTACTACAGCTTCACCTAAGAGTAAAAGTGGACCGTTTTTGTCATATGTGTTAAAGACGGCTGACTTAGAGCAGCAAATATATAGGGTGAAAGCACGTGCAGGTACATAAGTATTGGTTAGGCCAAGCAAACAAGATTAAGTCTAACTCAAGTTTTCAAAAGAATCATAGCAGTTGATGGTTATTATTCATTGCCAACTAATAACCACAAATTTGCTAAATTTTTGAAATTCTTGTAATTAAAGAGCATTTAGTGTCACACGATATTAGCTTAAGCAATTAGTGTAAATAATGATGCTTGTTATGGCTGTAGTTGAGTGGATGCGGGGGATGATAAGAAACTACTGATTAAATTTCGTACTAATTTTAGCATGTTTTATTTGATATTTTTCCTCTTTCAGTTTTACTGATTACCTGTTTTGTTTTATTCCAGTATTACCATTATCATGCTTATTCAAATGATTTCTAACTTGAATATTTAAATGTATGTATTTCAGCTTTGCTGTGCATGTTGATAATCATAAGATAGATTAATATTTAGTTCTCTTATAATCATTCAAATAAGGCATTCTTTGGAGTATAAGATCGTGGAGGTCATCTGAGCATTGCATTGGTTTCTAGATACATGAATTTATGTACCTGATTATGATTTGATATTTTTTCATGGTATTTAGGGTTTATAATCTTAAAGATTTTCTGAATCCCACTATCAAAGATAGTATTCTAAATCTTTTACTTATTTACATTCTATTTTGTCTTTATCAAAGTAATTAAACTATCTACATTCTTCATGTAACTTAAGTATAATGGAAACAAAAGTCTGGGAGTATTTGCTTGAATAGTTTTATTAATACTGTTATCTTACCTTAAGAACGTTTGTATCAGATCCATTTTGTACGTGTCTGACTGCATCTCCATCATCTAGTAAGAATGGTCATTCAGTATCAAGAGTGTAAGAAATTATACTTGAGTACAGGTAGCTTTTTATTGGTGTTTAGAATCAAGAATTTACATTGGTTAAAATTTTCATGTAATATGGTTAAGTATCACTACTACAAGAAGAAATACCCATTAGTATAGAAAGGGTTAATACAGTCTCTTCTATAAATTGGTTCTTGGGAATCCTACAATATCTCAGGAGTGGAACCCCAAATTTTAATATGTCATTTTGTCAAAATATTTCATCATATCTTCCTTTTGATCATCGTGTTGGAATATTTCATTTCAATCAGTTTCTTTCATGTTTTGAAATTCTTCATTGTAGTAACATTCATGTGTCGATATTTTTGATTTTGTTGCTATATTGCTATGTTTTATGGTAAAACCTTTTAGTTCCTCCACCTCCTGGAATTTGTCCAACAGTTTTACCAACAATTGGACAACCACCACCACCACCCCCTGGTCCTCCACTTCCACCTGGGGTAGCTCCTCATCCTCCACCACAACCTGGTAAGTAAATTGTTTAGTTCAATACAAAGAATGTCATTCAAAATATGATCTGATTTTTATATTAGTCACACTTACAGTTGATTTTGAAAAGAAGATTATCAGAATAAAGACTGTTACCCTTGTTATCTAATTTCATCATATTTAATACCACAGTAATGACTTATATTGTTGTAATATTATATTGTGAATATAAGTATTTTTTGGCAGTGTTTTAAGTTGATGTTTAAAACTCTGTAAACCTTTTTGTTTGTAATATTTTATAATTTTCACTTTTATTTTGTGGATGTTTCTTAGTTCTCCAGGTTTTCCTTTAGCAAAAACACTGATCAAAACATTCTCTCTTTAAAGACTCGTACATTCCCGAACCATACAATCCTGAAGCCCCGGGAATTAAAAGAAATCCTCGTATGCATCAACCTTTTTGGGGTCCACCATCCACAGGAATGCCACCAGTGAGGTTGCCAGTATCTCGCGTTCCTCCTCCAATGTTCCATCCTCCTCCACCACTGCAAAGAACACGTGAATTAATTGGTGTTCCTACGATTGACAATCCTATAGGTAGGTTTCAGAAAATGATGGGAAGTGATATCACATTTGTGAACAGTCTAATGCAATCATTAAATATTGTGCTTGTCTGTGGCCAACCTACTTTTAATCAAACATTTTCTCCCTGATGTAGAAATATCAAAAGTCTCTACAGAAAGTTCTACAGTTTTTGAGCCTGAAACACCCCAAAGCATAGTTGTTACAGCATCACAAAGCAGTATTAGCACTGGTGTTGTCTCATCTGTATCTGTTCAACCTAGTGTCGATTCAAATATAAAGAGACGACCATTTGACTATACCCGATTGGGCCAAAAAAAATCTTTTCAGCCAGTCCAGGAAAGATGTACTCTTGAAGTTAGAAAGGTTCCCAGACATCTTAATACCATAACACAGCTAAATGGACATTTCTCCAAGTTTGGCAACATTGTTAACCTTCAGGTACATAACATTGCATTTCTAAAATAATTTAAAAAAAAGCTAGGCATAGATACATTATATACTTTATAGTTCAGTTGATACTAAATCATCTTGGTGCTAGTAGAGTAGTTTCTAATTGCAATACTTGTGTGAATTATGTTTTCGTTGCAGCAATTTTAAAAAATCCAAGTATTTTAATGATGAGTATTTCAGTGAGATTTTTTAACATTGCTCCAAGGAAAACAAGTATTACAATTATAAACTACTCTACTAGCACCAAGATAATTATAATGTATTTTAATGATGAGTATTTCAGAAGCAGGCTGAATCAAGAAGTGTATTAATGTTCTGAACTGTCTTGAAGGAGTACAGAGCTACACCTTTCTCTTGTATAACAGGTTGTTAAAACACTGAACACAGACAACCAGTTATATTGTACCTGTTAATATTGAGAAAATACCTTAAATACAAACAACTAGCTATATTGTACCTGTTGACATTGAGAAAAGACAAACAACTAGTTATACTGTGCCTGTTGACAATGAGGAAAGACACAATACAAAAAACCAGTTATATTGTACCTGTTAACATTGAGAAAATACCTTAAATACAAACAACTAGCTATATTGTACTTGTTAACATTGCGAAAACAATAAACCCAAACAACTAGCTATATTGTACCTGTTGACATTGAGAAAAGACAATAAACCCAAACAACTAGCTATATTGTGCCTGTTAACATTGAGAAAAGACAATAAACCCAAACAACTAGCTATATTGTGCCTGTTAACATTGAGAAAAGACAATAAACCCAAACAACTAGCTATATTGTACCTGTTAACATTGAGAAAAGATAATAAACCCAAACAACTAGCTATATTGTGCTTGTTAACATTGAGAAAACAATAAACTCAAACAACTAGCTATATTGTGCATATTAACATTGAGAAAGGACAATGAACCCAAACAACTAGCTATATTGTGCATATTAACATTGAGAAAACAATATACCCAAACAACTAGCTTTATTGTACCTGTTAATATTGAGAAAAGACAATAAACCCAAACAACTTGTTATATTGTGCATGTTAACACTAAATACAGAGAACCATCTATGTTTTCCCATTAATGTTTAGAAAAGAACATACTGTTATTACATTGACAGTAAGTGGAAGACAGTACGTATGCAACTGACTGGCTGTTGCGTGTCTGTTAATGGTAAGAGAGAAAACACTGTATTTTCAAACTATCAGCACCATATTGTGTTGTTTTTTTTAATGGAAGAAAGAAGATACTGTTTTAAAACATATTGTCAACTATTTGTGTCCATTGCAAGTAAGAATAGAAGGCACTGTAAAGACAAGCAACAACCTGTATTGCATTTATTAATTTTAAGAGTAGAAAATAAATTTTAAAAGTCTGTGGCCTCCAGTAATTCTATAACCTGAGCTTAAATTTTGATAAGCTTGCAATGAAGGGTCACTGTTTGAGTTTGAAATTATACTACTCACTGGGTTTGAAATTTCTTTATTTTGAAGTAAAATTTTCTTTAAATAAATTCTTTATTTTCCAAAGGGACTAAGGAAATAACAAAAAAAGTGTTTTATTTAGTAATAAGAATTAACATATGATATTGTTGGTTGTTTTTTACCTATTCAAAATACAATGATTCAAGAAGGATGCCTTTCTTTACTTGCCTAGAAGTACAGATATAGATTTATGAAAGAACTTTATGTAGTTGGTGTAATGTTGATATAAAGGTATCATGCAAGAAGGGTTGTGCAGTTATAAATATTTTTAAATTGTAGAATATTCTGCTATATTAATTGTGTCTAGAATAAACTTGGTTGGGCACGTATGTAAAAATGTAGTAATATCATGTCTGGGTTAAGGTCTACTATGGTGGGAACCCTGAAGCTGCTCTGGTCCAGTTCTCTAGTCATGCAGAAGCTAATTCAGCCTACCGGTGTACAGAAGCAGTTCTTAACAACAGGTTCATCAAAGTGTTTTGGCATAACAAAGATAACAACCAGAACTCCAACCAAGAGAAAACAACCCTTCCTACTGACAAACCAAATGTGAAGGAGAGGCTTGGGATTCCTGGAAATGGCAAAACCAGTAACTTCAGTCTAAATAATAAAATCACAGCAAATTCAACACCAACAGAGGATAATACAGAAAGAGTAAGCCTATTTTGATTTTTTATTCTTTCATACTGTAAGTAAAGATTTGGTGGTTGACTGTTATCTTGTTATGCCTCAAACAAATTAACGATTTTTTATTTGTTTTTCTTTCATATTTTAGAAGAGTATTTGGTGGTTTGTGGTTTCCCTTTTATATCATTAAGAACAGTAAAGGTTTAGCACTTTACTGGTAGCCTGTTAAATCTTAACACTAACAGAGTGTTTCTGATTTCCTTTTAACATTTTTATGTATTTTTAAAGTATATTTGATGATGTGTTATTTTTCTTAACCCTTTTGAGACGGGTCACAGGTGAAAGGCCATGTCATCTCATTTGTTGGCTTACATTTTATATTGAACTACTATTTCATGAATTTATGTCAATAAGTTTGGTATCAAACTGTAGATTATAATT